CTATCTATCTATCTATCTATCTATCTATCTATCTATCTATCTATCTAATCTAATCTAATCTAATCTAATCTAAAAAAGTGAAGGTGGCAAACAAACCTAATACTTCTGCCTCCTATTTTCCTCTTTAGCAACAATCAGGTATAGCAGGGGTGTCAAACTCACGGTGTCATGTTATCATCACATGATGCATCATGACTTTTCCGCGTTGCTAAACTGGGAGTAGGCGTGGCCAGCGCGTGACACATCTGGCTTGCAGGCTGCGAGTTTGACACCCCTGATATATAGTAATTTGGGCCTGGAGAGACCGATTTGTGCCAAATCATCCAATCATCTTTCCGGCTTAAGGAAGGACTAGAAACCATGGTCTCCCAATTTCTAGGCTTAACCACTGCACCAAACTGGCTCTCAGTACAAACAGCTGTATGAACTGGTTTTTATTTTGTTTTGCTTTGGGGTTTTTTTGTACCGGAGGTGATTCTGAAACAATGCAAGACTGTCATGTTTCTCTAACAAGAGAACGCAGAACATGCAATAGTCTGCAGTGTTCCTCATAATTCAGATAATTTTTAGTAATTTATCACTTCACAAAGATTGGTACATCTTAAATATATTCCATTTCAGCGGCAATTCAGTGTCAGCTGCTATTAAGCAAATATACTTGACTAGTAGAAGCGAGGGACAAACAAGTGACAAACGTGAATGCAGGGCCTACCCATTTTGTTGTTGTTTAAGGTCGGCGACAAATTGTAATTTATACTGTAAGTTGTTAGCAACTGCCTCTTTAGGGACCATTGACAGTGATGACAGTGATGAAGAAGTTATTTTGTGACCAATCCTTGCATTTACAGGTCTGAAAAGCAAAGGAGAGATGAAGTAAAATCATAAGCATAGCAATGGCTTCACTTAACAACTGCTTTGCTTAAAAAAAATGAGCTGCTGGTCCCAACTATGATTGTTAAAAGAGGACTATTTGTACATTTTAAGAATCCTAGGGCACTTGGAGTTATCCCTGAACAACCCTTTGGTGGGGAACACTAGAAACTTCTTATATGTGATGTACCATTTCCATTTAGGAGTTGATCGTGGTTTAAACTTCTGGCTTAGTTTTGTACATCTTTGCATTTCCCTGAATTTTGCCTTATGAAGCATTCTGAGAAATTCTTTATGGATATTTTGCTGAAAACAGAAAGGAAACAAATTAGTGATTTATGGATTTGATTATTAAATAGGGTAAAAGAAGGGAATCATAATGTAACTTAAAGAGGAAGGACCGATAAATTTATTTAGAACTGCTCTGAAGATTGAATGCCATTTCTTTATATTTTTTTCTTCCTTGTTCCTTTACCTATTCACTAATTTTCTTCACTATGTTTCTCATTCTTAAATTTGTACTGCTTTTATTATTGTACAAAATTGTTTCATAAAAATAAATAAATACATCTGGAGAATGCTCATACATCCCTTTATGCCTGTTGTTTGGTCTCAATAAAGGGAACCTCATGCTTTTTGGCATAAGGAACACTTTATCAGTTCTATATCTACAACATGCCTATGTGTAAACAGTAATAGAACTCTTTGGTTAGAATCAGATACCTCTGAATACATATGCAAGGATGATACTACATTTGCATCAGGTAGGGTATATCCTGTTGAGGGGGCAGTTATTAAGAAGCTTTCATTTATAACTACTCTTGGAGTCACACCTTCTACCTCATTTTCAGCTTAATGAGCCGTTTTGTCTTTTTATTGTGTCTTTTCTAATGTTCTCTCCCTCATCCTGTCATTCTCTTCCTAGTTCATTCAGTCTTGAGGATGACCAGAAAAATCTTCACCAACAGCAGGGAGAGGTGGAGGCAACAAAATGTCAACAGTGCCTTTGCCAAGCTGAGGAAGCTAATCCCCACCCATCCTCCTGACAAAAAGTTGAGCAAGAATGAGACTCTTCGCTTAGCCATGAGGTACATCAACTTCCTCGTCAAGGTCCTTGGGGAGCAAGGGTTGCCGCAAACAGGTGTGAATCCACGAGAAACGATACTGGGCCTGTTTCAGCAGAATCCACATTTGGAACACATGGAAAAACTGACTCTCCTTGAAGACTCTGAGGTCCCTTCTCCCAACACAAGCAGCAACATCCCAGAATGCTGGTCAGAAACATCATCTCCATAATCAGTCAGTCAGGGTAATCATCCTGATTGCAAATTGATAGTGCCCCTTGATATCGGTTGTGGTAGTTGTTTGTTTCTATACATGTTAATCTATTTATTTATTTATTTGGTCCATCTTGGTCTTTTAAAACTCAAATGTACTTTATGTAAGCATTTCTGAGGAAGAATATGGCTTTCAATAATTAAAAAGAATTCCAATGGTATAATTGGCTATAAAGGGCTTCCATTTTGAGTGCAGGGGACTTTGACTGGACTACTGAAAGTTGCCAATGCATCCCTTGCCCTTTATTGTCACATACAAGTGAAAATTGTCAGGTTCAGTAGCTTGTGGCTGAGTGACACTGTAAGTCTTAAAACAACTGACTAGGAGCTCTGGGAATTTCAGTTCCTGATGATTTGACTGCTGGATTGACAAAGGTTAATTGAAGATCTAAGTCAAACAAATTCTGCACTTGTGCCTCTTCTCCTGTGGTAGAACAAATCCCTTCCCACTTCCTGTAACATACCACAGTGAGCAACTGATTATTTCTTCCCCACTTCCTTTCTTAAGAGAAGAAACCACATAAATTGAGCAGCCACATCTACAATTACAACTGTGAGCATCTCATTGTGTCCCTTTCAAGAGATGTGATAATACTGCCTACTATAAATTGGGCATTTTACAATACTATAAATTGAATATTGTAAAAGAAAATATCTGGAGCTCTGGAGCCAAGGTTACGCATTACAAAAAGGGTTTTTTCCATTTAAGATACATTAATGTCAAAGTTAGTTGAGCATCGCTAAGGTCCTCTTCTTTGCCTGCAATGCCCAGGTCAATGCAATCTTCATGCTAGGATGTGTGCATTTCATTTACTATTTTTCCTCCAGTATATGTCAAAATCTGAGGGAGATACAAATTTAACCAAAACAAAATGCGTAGGGAATACATCTGAGCAGATGGGATCATGTCCACTATGCTTGCTCAGATATAATCAACAGTGGATTTTAGTTATCTCTCAAATATTCAAAGATGCCTACCTTAAAAAAAAATGATTTAACTATTATTTCAACTGGATTTATAATGTGAGGAAAAAAAACTCTTAAATTTGGCTGGAATTACACTTTACAGAACATTTGCACAGATAAAAACAATAAATAATTTCAAAAGCATAGCTTAATAGAAAAACAACTGTTTCATTTGTTGTTAGTGGCATTTTATAAATCAGAGGTGCTATGTAACTGTCTTTAAAATAAATATAGGACCACATGAATCACTTATGGAATTCTTTCTATGAGGCACCTTCTGTATAAACTGTCCCAAACTGGATGTCATTCATTCACTTAATTATCATCATTGGATACAGCTACTCCCAATTTTCTATTTTTTTTTAAAGACTTCATAGTTAAGAGCCAAAAGTCTTCTTGAGTTAAAAAAAACCCACCATTTGAACTCTAACGTTAGCTACCGATATTATGTATTTTCTGTTAAATGACAAAGAAAAACCCTTAAATGGGGAAGGGGGGATGAAACTCTGTGGCACGTGTGTTTCTAGATAAGTGGAGTTTTATTTTATCATTTTCTATTTCTTTCACTGCAACTCTGATATCATTGTCCCTGTCAAGGGCCCCAACCTTCTGTATATACATCATGAAAACTAGAGTTGAGAGGCAGAGGTGAAACTAAGACTTCAAGACACCAGGAAGTTGGGCAAAATTACTTATAAAGGACTTTGCCCCCTACAAAGTCATCTAAAACCAAATGATAATACATATTCCCTGGCATATTTCTTTCATCTTTCATGCCAAGATTTTATTTGTTCATAGGCCCATTTGCTTTATGAAGGATAAGGATAGAAATGCATTTTTCTCAATAAAGGCATGCAGATTAAATTGTACGTTGTATTAACAGGTAGTATGCCAATAAATGAATTAATGAATTAAAGTTTGGCTAATAAAAAAAAAAAATCACTCCTAATACATTTTAGAACATATGTTCTCAGGCATAACCTTCAATCCCCCTGTAATTGTTTTATTTAAAAAAAAGCGCTTCGGGGTTGGGAAATAAGAGCTATGATAAGCTTAAGCCTAGAACTAAATTAATAGATTAATACTAATTAAGACTGTTCTACCTCACCAGTACTATTGTTACTGCATTCCAGCTGAGCCAAATGAGAGTTTAATTTAGTTTATTAAAATAGTCATAGACTCAATATACAGAAACACATTACAAACACATTACTCTGCATCCAATTAATATAGGGAAAAAAGCTATTCATGCCTGATGATATACATCTAGAAAAACAATCCAATCCAAAAACTTCTGGTTGATAAAGAAGTGTCACAAAATTTGTCTACACTTGTGGAGATTTCCCCATCCTGATTTTAAGTAGGCATGCCAAATTGTCATGTGAAAGCGGTCTAATAGTTTCTAATTAGACTGGAGATTAACTCTGTCGTCCAAAAATGATAGAACATTTCAGAAGCTGGGATAAGACTGACATGGTTAGGTTAGTTTTACACTGCTATAACGTGCTGTTGCTCCAGCAGTCCTGCCCATTATGAGAGGACCCACAGGTTCTGCACCTTTATGTCCTTGGCTGAGCAGGCGATGAGATGAAGCTACCACCTGTAAGATTATGGCTGACTACCAAAGTCCCTGATGTTGGGTGCTCACCAAGTTGCGAAGGCTCTTATAGGGCTGCTGCAATTAAAATAGTTTGCACTGATTATACTATCTGGTCCTTTCCAGCTTCAAGGAATGATTTTACATCATTTCAAAATGGGGCAAAAATTATAGGAGTAATAGCAAGATATAATAGGGGAAAGAGTAATAGCAAGATGTAATGGAAGGTTTCTTTGAAACTCCTCTGGCGCTCAACAGCTAGTGTTCTCTACAAGGAGAGCTCAGTAGACCTTTAACATGGATGTGGGATGAACAGTCATCATGTATTTTCTAACTCATGGCTTATGACTTAGCATTGTGGGCAAAGGAAATAATGATGCCTTCTTTCAACACACTATATATGAATCCTGCCACAGAAATTTCCTTCTTAAATTATTGTTAAAATTGGAAGATAAAAGGTTTAAATTAGTGGAGTGGGATGTGGGAAAAACTGGGAATAGCTTAAGGAACTCCCCTTTTGAGGTTTTCTGGAATTCTGGTCGCTTCAAAAAGGGCCAAGTTGACCAGGGCTCTAGTGCCAAAGTATTTTCTCAGGTTTAAAGCCTTCACCTACACTATTACCAGAACTGTGAGGATCTTAAAACACTGTCCCAGGGGGCCAAGGTCTATCTACAAAGACAGCAGCAATCCTAATGCAGAGGATTTTATTTCAGAGAAAATCCCACTGAATTAGACGTTAAAATTTTTGCATTTGAAGTAGAGATGTACTCCTGAGAATTGAACAGTGATTGCAGAAGTTATTATGACTGCATTTAAAAAAAGAACAAAAGAGGGAAATCTTAGAAACAACATGTCTTTACGTCTAAGAAGGAAGTTTGAGAAGGAAGGACAGCATGGTGGAGGGGGAATAGAATGGAATCATTGGCAACCTATGGAGCCCATCTCTTTCTTCCTTCAAGATGCACTGGTAGCTTTGTCCCAATTTTTCTCTCTGAAGCAGATTCCATTCATTTTGGAAGTTAAATTTTTTTTGTCATTAAAAAAAACAGTGAATACAGTTCAATTTTCGCAGAGTTACCCTACTGATGGATAAAATCTCAACACTTTTATATATTTTTCAGCATTTTCTTGTGTTGGAAATAATTAAAAAGGTTAATATATTATCATTATTACTATTACTATTATTATTATTATTGACTAAATACACTGTAGTCATTTGTGACTATAGTTAAATATGTAGATTTGATGTGTGAAAACCTAACAATAATTCAGGAGATTCTGGTAATTTTAGCAACAATGAAAAATGCAAAGAATTTATGAAGAAATTCTGAAACTGATGCTAGATTTATACATGGTACAACTTATTGGTTAAATGATTTGAATTATGTCTCAAAATATCCATGTTTGTACTGGCATTGTTCATTTTAACTTTTATTTCTGATGATTAAAACTTTCTAAATACACTAAACAAATGAAAAAAAAAATTCTCTTGGCAAAACCATGTTCTGATGAAAATATAAAAGGTAAATATTTCATGTTATAGTGAGAAAAGTAAATGTAGTATTTCCTAAGTATCCTGTCTTATTTCTGTATATCTTCTTGCTATTAATATACGTGTGTTTTTAACTAAATGTCTCTACCAAAGATTTATTTTGTTGGCACTTTTTATGTTTTGTAAGCCCCCTTTTTTTGGCCAAGAATCTTTTATATATTTTCTTGTACATTTCCCTATTTAGTCCTAATATATTAAAAAGATGTGCGAAATCAGTCTTTTTTATATTAAAAATGCAATGTCTTAACTAACATTTTGTTAAGAGCTGAACTGGTTTTCTATTTTCTCTCTGCTATTGGAAACAGCAGGAGCATGTGAATATTAAGTTATCTTTGCAAGGAAAAAAAACACAGGGTGCTTTTGCAATTTTTAAAAAGAAGTATACAGATTCAGTGGATAAGCAAGCAAGAAGACAGCATTAATTTGAAAGCAGCTTTGGTTCTTTGCTTACTTTCCTGGGAATTACTTTTGTCAGGCAGAAACCAATTATCTACACATTTCACATTTCTCCATCCTGTGCAATGAAAACAGATTCTTTTGAATTTGCTAAGCAGTCAAATAGGAACACCATAAAGTAGGCTAGATTAATAAATAATCAGCTTTCTCAAATACAAACTCTGCAGTCCATTCCTACATGAGATTTAAAGAGGGCTAATTTGTATATTCAAATAATGTTTATTAAATAGTGTTAATACTTTACATTACACATTAAATTACATTGAAAACAACCATGGACCCATCTTTATGACTGTATGTACTAGAAATCCACTTTTGAGTATAGTAACCATATTTTCGTGAAAAACATAACGGGCCAATCTGAAAAAAAAAATCAGAAGGATTAAAA